CTAGAAATGTTCTAAGGTAGCTTAGGATGCTCCCTGAGTCTAACCTTTGACATAGACGTTGGCTTGAAATACCACTTGTAGCCTTATTTGTCAAGATGTGTATATTTGATTCCATTTATGTAATGTGTACATGAGTATACTCTTTACAATGTATTTGACATGTATGAGATAAGGCCGGAGGCCAATGATCATTATTTTGTATCCTATGTAATTTTTAACTTCATAAAATATTATGAAAATGTTTAAAAAATGTCAAGTTATTGCGTCACTATGTTTGCATCGGGTGTGGGAATTCCATTTTGATTCTTTCACATGGTCTCATTAATCATGTATGAAGTGTGGCCAATAGTCAAACGGTTATTTGAAGTTATTTGTTAATTTTGGATTTCAAAATTTTCATTTCAAATTCATTTTCGCCTTTTTTGCTGTTGGGGAGTCGGATTTTGCATCGGCGGTATTTTTAAGCCATGGACCATTGTAGCACGTCCTAATAGGTGAGTTACGTTTGCGTGCATGATCGTTTTCAAGAAAAACCTCTTCCTTGGTGATTTGAGCCTCCCATGGACTCATTTTGCATTTTTTTTTTTTTTTTTTTTTTTGCATAAACTGAGTATAAGGGCATTTTGGGTATTTCACTTGAAAAATAAAAACTTCTCTTGATATGGTCATGTAGAAAACATGATTTTAGGGAGGGTTTCTTCTTTGTGTTTTTTCAAAAAAAGGTCATCTCGGACACGAAAATCCCATTTCAAATTCAATTTTCTTGTAAGAAAATTTTTGTTTACTGTCAGCCTCATCGAATCGATTAGATGAGCCATATAATTGATTAGATGGTCTTCCATGGGATTTCCAGCATTTTGTTTTGGCATCTAATCGATTAGATGGATCATCTAATCGATTAGATGGTCCTGAGTTGCATCTTTTAACCCTTTTTCTTCATTTAATCATAATTTTGTCATCTGGACTCAAAATTGAGATAATTTTTTTTTTTGAACTTCACTAATTTTTTGTCGTCTATCCAATGATATGCTCGATTGTACCCAGATATTTATGGATAATTACCAGTTTACCCCTTTTAGCCTTAAGTGCTCGTTTTCTTCGTTTTGTCGTTTCTCCTTCGTTCGAACTCCAAATCATGCGATTCTTGAGTCCATCTTGATTTATTTTCAACGTATTTCCAATGGTGTGCAAGGTAGCACCCATTCCTGGGTAAAATGACCATTTTACCCTTGGTCCATTTCTTGTAGATCTTTGAAAACCTTGTTCCCTTCTTGCTTCATTTGAGTCTCGGAACTCCTCAGGAAGCTACTTTCTTTCTTAGGGATGACGTACATCTCTTTAGACTTTCATTTCGTGTGAAAAGACTATTTTGCTCTTGGAGGCATACTTGGTCTATTTTTTTATCTTTTTCTTCTGCGTTAGTTCTCGTTGAGTTTCATGGCCTCTTGGAAGGTCACTTGGTTTCTTAAAGATGTATTGTATCTCTAGAGACTTGGGTTCTATTTTTTTTTTACTTCTGCATTCTGGATTCGTTATCGGATCTACATTCGGTTCATCATAGGACGCACTGGTTTAAAAACCAGGGCCATCACATAATCAAAGGCACGTACTTTTTTTAATAATATATAATTTATATTTCTATGTTTTGCAAAACTCCACGTGTGCAAGGGTACTCAGTGTAAATGACTTCAGGTAAAAGAACTTCAGATTCACTTGGACTTCAGGCCAACAAATTTTGTGAAACTTGGGGTTCGCAAAGAGTACCAAATATTCGTGAAACTTCTAACTCACGAAGAGTATATTAGTATATGCAAAATTTCGGGAATGCAAATTAAATATAAATAATTTAGTATTTGCGAGACTTCGGGCTCAGCAATTTACTTTTCTATAAAGAATGAATAAAATATTCTAATATAAATAAATAAATAAATAAGTATTTGCGCGACTGCAGGCTCAACAATTTTAATTATCTGTAAAGTTTGAACAAGAACAATATAATATAAATAATTATTTTTCTTACCCTTTGAAGTGAGAAAGAAAAATAAAATTTTCTTCTCAGTTGGCAGAGTCTCGTGTTGATAACGTTTTGTGTATTTAAGAAAAAATATAGAGTAATATTGAGAATACAATAGATGAAGAGATATATAACAAAGAGAGTAAGAGAATTCTTATTTCGTTCTGTTATCACAATTTGCAATACACTACACTCCTTATATAAAGAGTTTTTACCACCTAATGTACTGCACTTCGCTCATCATACTTTCTCATACAAGGCACGTAAACCACTGTGATGCGACCTGAGCATGTGCATAAAATAATGCACAACACTTTGAGTTTGGAAATTAGTGTCAAGTGGGCATCATACTTTAAATTTATAAACCGTTTAACACCTATACTGTGCAGTATGAGTGAGAAGGGATCGTCCCAAGAGATTATACCTGTTGAAATTTTAGCTTCGACTCTAGCGTATTAAAAGATTGCAAGGAAGGGTTAGTTGGTTGATTACACTAAGGTGCAATGAAATTAAAATGCAAGTAAAGTAAACTAATAAGAGATAGGGATTTAAGAGATATGAAGAGAGGTCTTAGGGTGTTGGAATCACCACTAAGCTCATGTAATTAACCACTTGCTTCCCATTAATGGGGAATACATTGTTGCAATCTAGATGTTGCCACAAACATAAACACAATTTGCATGTAAAAGAATGGACTATCTAATGCAAGTATGAATTGTCTACCTAACCAACAAGTACGCTAAGTATAGAACAACCCACCAAGACAAAGGCATAATCCATCAATTAGTTAACAAATGTATCTAATGAGAACTCACATCAATCTAAAGAATCATGGAATTTGCAATAATAAGTGTGAAGTATCAAATCAAGCATAGATTGTCTACCTGACCTACAAATATGAATTAAATTGTAGAACAACCCATCAAGTGCAAGCAAAATCTATCAAATTAATGTACAAACCCATTCAATGAAAACCATGCTTAGCCATCACTAAATCCTTAATTTGTCACACAGACATGCAACCAACATAAAGAATCTAGTGTAGAGAACTCTAGATTCTTCCCAAATAATCACACATAAGACAACATGTCACATAAACATGCAATCAACATAGTGATTATTCCCAAATAATCACACATAAGACAACATGTAATTAAAATAGAGAATCACTAGGAAGAATTAAATCAACAATCATAAAACTAACCACCAATCACAACAATATATATAAATCCCAAAAATATAAATACAAGGGTTTAGATTACACAAGACTTAGGGCTCATCCAAGCCCTAAGTGAAAAGCTTAGCCAATCATGAAAGAGGTGGATGTGATCATGAAGCCCTCAAGGGCAAGCTCCAAACATGACTCCATTTTCTTCTTCCTCTTCTTCTTCTTCTTTGAAGCTCTAGAGAGAGAGTGTGTAGATCTTCTTGTGTTCTTGGTGCCTCCACTCTTCTCTTTCTTCTCAAAACCATGATCTCTAACATTTCTAGAGAGAGAAAACTCACTATTACAATATAAAGCTATCTATGTAAAATAATGCCTATATTACAAATGGTTCATTTTGCCTTTTATACAAGACCCTTGGAGCCTAAATAGGTCAGAAAATAAGCGTTGAAAATATCTAATCCCACAGCCCCTTGGCTCATGAAGTTCGAGCCAAACCGATATTAAAAACTGCTCTCAGCATGATTGTTCACAGGTATGGTTTGATCAATCAGAGCTGTGGTTCGATTGATCATAGCATGTCGGCGTATAGTGTGGATAAGGACAAAGGTTGAGATATTTATGGGAATAAGGACAAAAGTAGTCATGAGGATTGGATCAAAAGGTTTGATCTATCATCGATCAGAGCAGGAAATTTTCAGCATAGCCTCCTTCTGCTCCAGCTTCTCACCAAGACTCAGTTTGACTCCAAAAAGGCTTTAATGGACCGAAATTAACCCGTTTCAATCTTATTGACCTAAAATCGACAAAAACACAAATTAGAACTAAAATGAGAAAATAAAGATAGATGAAAAGACTAAAATACCTTAGTTTATGCCTAAAATGTGCAACATTTCAGCACTTATCACACTGCAATACATTATCTACTGAAACACACCATTCTCTGCCTTAGCACTCATGCATGTAGTAAATAATGAAGTGGACCCCACTATATTACAACAACACACTATATGGATGTATAAATACACACTACATGAACATATATATATACACACACTATACAAACATATATATCAAAAACCTGCTGTAGTTGTTTCTCCTCTTCAAATATTTTCTTTTATAGTGGGTTTAATGGTAGAGGTTGAACCCTTAAAGAGATGGAATGAAATTGCATTGCATTTGTATTTTATTTTAATTTCATTTGCATTTAGGCGAAGATCAAATATCAAAATATAATCTTGTCAATCAATGTAAAGGACATTTTGGTCAAAATGCATTTGGTTTTTCTTTTCGTTTTTTTTTTGGCGCGCAAACACAAGGCTACTATGGTCTATTTAGACGAGAGAGAGGCAAAATGCCCGACAAGAGAAAGGCAAAATGGGCATTTTTAAAAAAATGGTTAAGGGTTCTGTCCGGAGAAAATTTCAGGTGTCAGTTTAGCAAACGCGCCAAACGTCCAGGGATGTGAAATTAATAACCGCTTATCATATTACCAATGAACACACAAGGTTGTTTGATCCTTGGCCAAGCATTAATCTGAATTCTGAACTCCTGTTTGGTTCCTGCCATAGACGCTATCTTGGCAAATTCGGTATGGACATCACATGCATTAGATGTTGCTACCACAGAAATAAGCTAAACATAATTTCTATCATAATGCAATTATATGTCAATGTTTAAATTTCTTTATACAAAGAGATTAGGGTTCTGCAAAACAAGAAAAATAACCCTTTCAGGAAAATTATGTTTGAACCCAAAATCAAATTACCAAATTGGAAGTCACAAACCACGGGGGAAAAGGGGAGGGAAACACGAAAAAGAAAAGGAAAAGGAAAACTTTTCGGCCATTATTTGAATGGGGGGCTAAAAAATCTAGACAAACAATCAATTCCATTTCAAATGAATAAGCAAAAAAAAAAAAAATGATATTTCTTTCATATAATATAAACATCAGCTCAGTCATCAATACAAGTCTTATGGAATGCCCACCTTCTTCTGAAGATAACGAAATATCTGAGGAATTAAAAATGATGGCTTATCTGCAGAATTTATACACAATCTTGCTACAGCTAAAAGACCTTTAAGCTCTTTCGAATCATAACTATTTCCAAGATCTGGGTCTATCATCTTATGTATGGATTTTTGAGAGCGAGATTCTTGGACCCATTCGATCAAATCAACATCTCCCTTCTCAGATGACTGACCAGTAACGAGCTCAAGGATTAGTAAGCCCAGCTGAAAGATCATATTTCCACATGCCAGTCCAACACATTCTGCAAGGGAGGGCAAAATGGGTAAAATAAGTTCTATTTTTTTAATACTGCAAATCAGAATCAAACGAGCTTTTACCCTTCTGCTCCACATGAAATCTCTATTCTCGTTGAGCTCATCTTATAGAATAAAGATTGATATAGAGAAAATAAAGTATTGTGAATTATTATTGCAAGTGTAATTATAAATATTTACCATTTGAGCAAGAAGCGTGTGGCAGTATAACATGAGTTCCTCCAGAACTTAGGAGGCCAACATCGGAGAGCTGTGACAAAGAAGAGGAAGGGTTATTGTTATAGAATGTCTCCCATTTCATGAGTGTTTGCATATAAGAGACTAAAAAATGTGGATTTTTTTTTTTTTTTTTTTTTGATGTGTGTGTTTTGGGTGGGGTGGGGTGGGGAGAATTTAGATCTCCAAAATTCACATTGGTTGAGGAGCCAAATGCTAGAAACTACAATGAAAAGAGGACAAAGTAATGTATCCTTACCTTTGCAGTGAAATTCTCATCTAACATGATGGTACTCGAACTGATGGAGACATGATACATCGGTGGTTCGCAGAAGAAATGCAAATATTCCTGTATTATAATATTTTGACATGTAAGATTCTGTGGATGAATCTTGTATAGCCAAAGTGCCAAACACATAAAGGAACTTCCTCTATACTTGGATACAATACTGATTCAAATACAAAGTTGCTTTGTAAGTTTGGTGTTTTTCTGTATTATTTTGCTTAGGGAAAAAAATATATACAAAGTTGCTCATCCCAGTCAATCACCCACACAAACAATAATCTAGAGGCATCCAACTGAGATTCACCTCTTGCATAGGTGAAGGCCAACAAAATAATAATAATAATAATAATAGTAACAATAATAATGTCTTTTCTGCTAGTATTATTAGTTTTCTATTACTCCCTTGTGAGAAAAAATAAAACATGATCCACTAGGTGCATACATTTCAGCTGATTTACATCACATAGGGCGTGCAATTTTGATATCCAACTAGTCACGAGATTAACCACATGCCATTGAAATCTTAATGATTAAACATGATAAATTTGTATCTAGAACGTAAAAATTTGCAACCATATCAGTCAAAAGAAAAATCTTAGCCGCAGAGCATGATTCTCAAATTGATACTCATGTAAGAAATAGTCTTGTACTACTAATGCAAAATCATATATCATTAGGGTCTATTTATTAGGCATGATGCTTCTTGGTTAAGTTGTAGCCCCAAAAGTTCAAAAGAATTAGAAGTGAAAAAAATAATAATACTTCAATTAGGGAAATAATAATAATAATAATAATAATAAAATCACAAACTTGTAAAATGAAATCTAAAGGAAGGGATCCTTGGTGTTCTCCAAAAGGTCTAATTGTTAAGAATGAGATGCATTAAATATTTGTATGTTTTCATCTACCGTACAGACAGTACAATGTGTCAATTGACAGGCATGATACAAAATGGCACAGCTAGATCAAATTTGAGGGAGTTTAGACCAGGCATCACAGACCTAAAAGCACTACAAATACCCAGATCAAGATGAGCAGTTAGAAAGGCATTTAAAAGAGGAGAGATTCATAGGGCTCTCGTACATAGGGGAATGAGGCCTTAGGCCCCAGCAAAATATCTATTGCATCAAATATAAGATGCCAGAATATTCTTAAGCATGCCATGCAGGTGTGATTCTTTTATATGTTATCTTTTTGTTAAGTGACATGTCACTGCGGTTTTAACCAAGAAAATAAAAGCATTTGGTGAGATGGCAATGTTCCCAGAGCGAAACAGGGTAGAAAAAATATAATATCAGGTCAGTAATAAAGAGATAGGTGCTTGTCCACTAGATTAGTTGAAAGCTTAAACCGACGATCAAGAGATTGAGAGCAGGTCGTTCATTTCACTATCCCCTTTCAGTAGTCTGCCAGCAATCCAAGAGGAAAATTTGGCTTTCTCCTCCTTGATAGCAACTGATATACTGATGCCAGAATTAAAACTAGAGCTCTAGGTAAGGTTTGGATAGGACCGCAATTTGGATGGGCTAACCCGAGGCCAACCCTAAAATATTCAGGCTTGGGCAACATTTTAAAATTTTGGTCAGGGCTTGGGTTCAAAAATACCAGCCCAAATTTATTTTGGTCCAGGCTCGGGTTACTATATCAGGCAGCCCGAAACCCAACCCAAACCTGTCCCGAATTATAACCCCAAATTTATTTAGTTATATAACATATATATATATATATATATATATATATATATATATATATCATATGAAAATAGGTATTTTTTAAAATTCTAATTGGTTGCATGCATGAAAATAGTGCCCCGCAAAGCACGATATCATTTCGAGACAAGCTCCACCAATTTGTGTAAGAATCTCACTTTCTCAAACCCTAAAACACGAACAAACCTCCCAGCTGCCACGAGACTCAAACCCAAACCTCAGGTCCTCTCTCTCTCCATCCCCATCTCTCCTCTATCTTACTCCTCCTGCTCTCAACTGTTTTTTACAACGGATGACAACCACAGTTGCAGAGACCGCATGCAATTTCGACAGCTTCCGAAGAGCTTCTAGTCACTGTCGCCGATCTAACTCACTCTTTCACTACAACCCGATACTCAAAACCCGATTTTCTAGCCTGATTTACAAACCCAAGTTTGAAGATTTCATAACAGGTTGGGCTCTGATTGAATAACTTGGGTTGGGTTGGGTTGGGTTGGGTTAGGGTTGAAGATTTCTTACCTCAGGTCAAGCCCGAGTTGAGCCTCCAACCCACCGGAGTTGCACGGTTGCACCCCTAGGTCTAGAGAATCAACTTAATGGAAGCAAATTAAAGTGTTGGCCAGGGTCTCATTGTATACCTGCTACAGACAGATGGACTTTTGGATAAATTAGTTTTATATTTTCTAAATCATTCTCACCAATCATAACGGGCCTGCCAGGGTTCAATTTATTTTCTTTGTTATGTATCTTGTCCATAATGACATCAGATGATTAGAACAAGGCAATCTGGAGGATGGATTTATCTTACTGGATGCACCGCCTTTTATCTCTCATTTATTATTTGCGGATTTGTGCAACTATTTGGTGATGCCTCTTATAGGAAGTAGAGAATTCTTAGATTCAGTTTTCAATGTTTTGAGGTGGTCCCAGGTTTGGCTTTAACCAGTGAAAAGACTCATCCCATTGAACATTAAAACATTGGTTTAAGTAGAATACAAGCTAAACCAAGATTGAAACTAATATTAAAGGTACCATATCAAAGGACATGAATGGATTTGTTGAAGGTCCTACAGTATTCCACATAATCTTTTGGAGTCCCTAGACCAAGGAACGTGTTAGAATCCCTATTGTATTTGTCGGATTTGAGAAGCTTGAAATTTCATCTTAAGTGATGTTCTTGAGTGCTAGCTTCTTGGGTTTAGCATTGTGTATATCATATACATTACTCTCCCCTTTTCCTTCCAATGAATGTATCTTTGCCAACAGATTTAGAAAAATAAAAAGAACTGTCTTCTTCAGGTGTATTTGTATACTTATATGAAAGTATGCAGCATAAATCTTACCAATGCAGCTGCCACACCAACAGCTATTTGTAACCTTGTTCTCCAATTCAAGGGAGTCTTAAGAGGATCTGCACAGAGCCAAAAAGTTATAATATAATCAACATGAGTGAACATAAGAAAAGTTTGCCAAAATTTACCATTTAGATGTTCCTTCAGGCTTCCATTCTCTATGTTTTCAAACACAAGGAACCTGAAAAGTGCAAAAGAGAAGTATAACGAAACTCGGAATCTCTCAGAACAGTAAGGGCTTTGCCAACCCAGATACAGAGAAATTAATAAATGTATATTAATCTGAATAATGTTCAATCCATGGGGACCTCTCATTCAGGAGAGTATAATAAAGGTTCTCATTTATTGATGATCTGAGGAAATTAAACAAAAACTTGTAGAATAAAGATGACAAACAAAAACTTGTACGCTACAGATGACAAGCCAGTTATGTACCATGTCGGATCTTTTATATTCTATCCACTAAATTTTAAAAATTAAAATATTGCCCTATTTTTAAGTTTTTCTTAAAATAGATGCACATAATTTCTTGAGGATTCTACAATCTAATTAAATGCTGAAGGTTTTGTGCCAAATTTTGGTAAAAGCCCTTGCTTTCTTAAACAAAATTGATAAATCTGTTAACTAAAATTTACATGTTACTGTACATGATTGGATTTGACTAAAATAGTCGGGAAAATTTCCAAGGCCTTTTATTACTGAATACAATTCATATATCCTATGCTAAAGGGTGCATTCCAAATGTGTAGTTTGAAGCTTAGAAAATTAATTTGTCACCTACTAATACCTAACAAGGGTGCATGAACTATACCATTAAAAAAATGTGTGGGAGGGGAACCACTGGTCCACTACAGTAATAAATGAAGGAGAGAGACCAGTACTTATTTGAGTAATAGTTAGAAAAGGAGCACAGGAAAACATAAAGAAGGTTTGGCTTCATAGATAGTGTAGTAGATTATATTAGGAAAGTCAAATGTGAAGGCCAGGTTTTTGGTTAGATATCAATCAAACACTGATCAAATTTCAAGAAATAGCATCAATACCAGCCAAGCCTTGCATCAACTGTTTTAACCATGTTTTATCAACCACAAGGATGGAAGAGTAACTCTTTTTTGTTTGATAATAAAGGAATATGTTATCTAATTGGTGATGGTTCATCTGTTGATCCATGGAAGGATTTGAATAGTTTAGGCCTTGGTCAGTAAATAATGCCGATGTAGCTTCAATAGTAAAAGTAGTAGACTTGATCAAACATGGGGATTGCTAAATAAAATTTGATGAGATTTTCTGCAATGCAAACTTTTACTTATGTAGTTATTGTTGTTGATGCTCTTGTTGTTGTTGTGGTCGTTTTTATTTGTTTTAGTTGTGACTCCATCAATGTTGTGCTTAGTGTCATATCCTTATACAGCTGGCCCAAAGTCCGAAAAAGGAATGGATTGGATCAAGTTGTTGACAACCAGCATAAAACCTTTGTCACACCTGTTTGAGCATGAATCATGATAATAATAACAAATATTAGGCATTTTATTACATGATGCATTATATTAACACTCCAACAATATGTGGCACCCCACCAGCATGTAAGGTTTTCTGCACAATCCTAACTCTACTAAAAAAAGCAAGTCGGCTTAAGTTACTTATAATATAGAATATTGAGGAATAGAGCAATCAAACATTATGATAAGCTTGAAACTTAATATAGAATAACACTTACAAGGAACTACGTGAGTAGGAGAGACTGAGAAATCTAAACTATATTACGTTGAAAAACACAGACATAAAGACAAATTAAGAATGATAGTAGATAGGAACTCAAGAAAAATTGCAACTGTTATTAGAAAATGTGATTATATAATATTAAATAAAATTTGTATCAGCAAAGAAACACAACACAACTAAGATAATTAGTGCTTATGAACTAGACAAATGTATTTCCACAAATTTTTTGAAAAAATATAGACAAATTAATTCAAGGAATGCATGAAGGAGAGAAAATTTATAGCAGTTTCAATAGTCATAAAGAAAATAAAGTTGTGAAAGATGTGTGTTGAAGCATATCGTCAAACTTGATGATGTATAGGGGGTGTTGTTTGCTGATGTTGGACGATATCGTTGCTTGGTTGGAAGCTGAATTGTCTTACCAATACTCATCCTGTTATTACTTATTTTGTTGGTGTTAGTCAGTATATCCATGCTACTCATTAGCCTCATGTTGAGGTTATTTGTCGTTGCTTGTGTTATCTGAAAGGTACTCCTGGGAATAAACCCTCTTCCTCCTTATCTGTGACAGGCTAGGAAGCACGGACACTCCAAAATGGGCGAAGAATCCGTGTCCAACACGTGTCGGACACGGCCCAACACGTGTCGGACACACCAAAAAACGTGTCTGGAATTTTTTTATTTTTTTTTAATTTTCGGACACGGCTCAAACAACTCGGACACGGCTCGGACACACTTTTCTGGATTTTTTTTTTTTTTTTTTAAATTGTTAATGCTGATATGTTAATTTTAATTTTAATTTTTTAATTTTTAATGCTTAAATGTTCTATTTTTTGTTTTGTACTACCCTTTTGGTATTGTAAATGGTAAAAGTCCTATGTCAAATGATGGATGGGAATAGATGATAGTACACTGACTTGTTTTTGTATTTTTTTTTTGAGACTAGCCTTTAGGTTTTTGTGAATATTAAGTGCTAACGGTAAAGTCCTAAATGTTAAACAATCATGAATGTTAATAGTCCTTTCTGTCTATGCTTTTGTATTTGGAGTAAAGTTGCAATGATGATTAAATGATTCTAGTTATTATTCTAATGTCTTGTTTTTTATTTGATTATATAACTATGCAATATTGTTCTTTATAGTTTATTAGTTATGAGTTATGATTTGTGTTTTTTTTTCATTGTGAGGTCGATGAAAATTAATAACACTCAGTAATTTTTAAAATACTACATCACATATATATATATATATATATATATATATATATATATAGATACACTATTCGCCGTGTCCGTGTACTAATTTTTTTTAGATTTGCCGTGTCGCCGTATCCGTGTCGTGTCATATCCGTGTCCGTGCTTCTTAGGTGACAGGTTTTAGTGATGTTGATTGGGCTAGCAATCGCTTTGATAGGTGCTCTACATCTGGTTTACGCACATTTGTCGATGGTAATCTTGTTATAGAGCACAGTAATAAACAGATTGTCGTTGCTTGTTCTAGTGCTGAGGCTGAGTATTGCGCTATGTTGTGTTACCTGGACTCACCACTGGAGGCTGAAGTGTCCGTGTCGACACAACACGACACAACACGGACACTGGATCTGAGTTGGATCCTTCATCCTTGCATCAGACACGGCCAATGACCAAAAAAAAAAAAAAAATTGTGCGGGTTGATGTTTGTGAAGGATTAGAAATTTTTTCCATGTTTTATCTATTAAACAAGCTTCCATTAACGAGATCAGAATGCTCAGTGTTTCAACAATGGCAGCCTGGTGCATCTTTTGAAAGGTTGAAGGTGACTCTACGTATACATGCTTTGTTTGCAAATTTTTTTGCGCCGGTCGAGCGTGATTTCAAATGCTTGACTATTGACTTTTAAAACTCTTCAATGGCCACGATGAAGCCACCTGTTTATCTGATATTAAGGCATGGAGATTTGGACCTTTTAACAAAGTTATAATTAACCAAAATTACTATCTACAGCTGTAAACCTGCATAATGGTTTACAGCTGTACTGCACACCGTCCTTACTACTACTACTATATATACATATACATATATATATATATATATATATATATATCAACGATTCTTATATCGTGAGACACAAACCAGAAAAGGTAAATAAATAATAATTTATTTATCCAAAGAAGTAGAGACGGTAGAGGTAAATACAATAAAGAAATAATATAAGTTACTATATAAATTTATATCACACTTTCCTTTATCACTCTTTTTTAGTATATTTATTTTATTTTTATTAAAAAGACTGAGGCCTTATTCTCTAATACATTTTTTTTTGATAAGTCTTATTCTCTAATACATAAAAAGGATACACCTTTTCTTTTTCTATCAAGTGTCCAAGTTTTGGACACTTTTTAGCCGTGTCCCTGTATCCCATAACTTGAAGGTTGGACAGATCCGACTTCTAGACAAGCACCCGTGTCTGAGTCCGGGTAACATAGGTGCTATGGCTCACACCACTTCAAAGGTGTGGGTTTGCTCTCTTCTTCAGGAGATGGGTATTGATGTTCCTGCTCCTATGCCTATGCATTGTGACAATCACGCTGTTATTTTTATTGCTAGTAATCTTGTTTTTCACAAGCGCATCAAGAATACAAAGGTTGATTGCCATTTTATTCATAATTTGCTGATGCGAAAACATATTGTTACTCCCTATATTTGTTCTGACATTCAGCTTGGTGATATTTTATGAAGCCGTTAGCCTGTGGTGCATTTCAGCTGTTGTGTCTCAAGCTGGGCATGTTTAATCTGTATGCTCCTTGAGGGGGAGTGTTAGATGACATTATTGTAGTATTGTTTAGTTGTCAAGGGTATTATTGTAATTTTCTTATCTTATATATAAGAGAGAGGTACTATAGAAATCCCTACATACCTATTAGATTCTTTCATGACTTTCTTCAATCTCTCATATTCTCTTTTTCTCATCTAACCCTAAAACTAGCTACACAAACTTCAAGTAAAACATTGCAACATTGGTTAAGAAAAGGGTTAGATATCGAACCTCTTACGGCCGGTGGAGAACCCACTGAGAGCAACAATGTGACGGTGATGCAAGCGCCCTAAGAGTTGAACTTCCCTATAGAAGGCATCCTTTTGTTCACTGAAAGCTTTTACTTCTTTAACCAGAGCAATACGACCATCTTGAAATTTGGCTTTATAAGCAGACCCATGGGAAGGGTTATCCATGATTCTACGAAATCCATCCGTTGCCTTTTTTATATCCTTGTATGAGAAGCACTTCAAGAATGATATTGGACCTGGAATGAGAAGTTCGAGATTCAAATGTGTGTAAGAAGAAACATTTACAAGCAGCTTCCATAATTACAAATTTAACAAGAGAACCTGAACGATCCATATAGTAGCAGTTGGATAATGGATGGTGCAAATCACTTTACTGTTTGTTATCTTAACAGAATAAGTGAGACAGAAAATTGAGGTTAAGAAGCAGCATGCGAGGATATGTTATAAATGAGAAAAAGACGTAGTTTTCAATATGTAGAATCATAATTCAACCTCCTTTCTGTATCTGGTCACATAAAAATAGAATTATCACTTTTCTTGTCACAGTCAAAATAAAACAAATATTTTTAAGCCCGGACAGCTCCGCTAGTAAGGTCTTTTGGGTAATCCCCTCAGGTCTCATCAAAGGTGAGGCCAGGGTTTAACTGATACGCATGGTTTGCGGGCGATTTCATAAATTTGGAGTTTGAAAACCATGTGAGAGTCCAAAGTGGCTAGCGGGTGGGTTGATTCTTCATTATTTTTAACCAAAGAGAGAGAGTGATTCTAGATTCAAAAGTTCATAGAAAAGTCATCTTTACAAGTGAGCATCTGTTAAATTAAATTATAACATGAAGTTCAAGGGCAAACAAGAACTCCATGATAATGATCCTAGAGAAAGATGTCATAGTTCCAACAGTCGATAAAATTCTGACTACAATAAATGTCAGTATCATAAAACCAATAATGTGCAATAACTGCAAAAATAAAAGAAAGATGCCCTCTTCCCTTTGCTATAAAAATTCTATGCATCTAGGTAGAAACCAACATAAGTTTTGAGAAATCTATTGGACTGTAGCCCTAGGCTCTGTTTAGAGTTTCACAAGGCCATCAAATGACCAGATGGTAAAGAAGGCCTTATCTGTTCACTTGTCGCTGGTTCAGACTTAATTGATCTTTCAGCAAAGATGCTCAAGAAGGTCAATTGTGATCTGATCCAAATGATAATCTAGATAATAGAATCACAGCAGCATGCACATTTCTGCTAAGAAAAATTGTCTATGTTGAACCCTAAAAATTCATGGAAGTGGAAAACAAGTGTCTATCACATCTTAGAGATATGTAGTTTGAAAATAAAATTTTCAATTATGACACTTGACATACAAGTACTGTTCATCATGTACATATGCCTGACACACCTTGTATGTTGAGATACATCTCTCTCTCCCTCCCATCTATACACACACACACACACACACAAAATAAAAGAGTGTAGATGAAAAGGCATGATGAGAGTCTATATGAAAATTTAGAACATGTTAAATAATAGAAATATAAAAAGTGGACCCTCTCCATCTTAACACTGACAACTGCTCCTCTCCTTCTCCATCTTTAAGGCTTTAAAACCCGTATGGTGGCTAGATGACTAATGCTTTTTATGCAGAAAATAAAAAGTTCCTCGAGCTCTATGTTTTCTTTAGGGCTGGCAGTCTCACTCGCAATTAGAAACTCTCTATCTCTTTCTAGTCCATGCATCTGATCTCCTCTGCTCTTACTGAACCTACCATAAAGTCAGATCTGTTCTTTACTCACTTTAGCAAGGTACGCTTCTGTCTAATCTAGCAGAAGGAAGGGTCCATTTTTTTGTCCTTTCACTCCTTGTTGCAGAGAGAAGTCTCATCCATTGCTAGTTGTATGATAGTAGTGGGCTAACCTTACTCCCCCCTCTTTACCCAGAATACCTCTAGTCATAATAGGATTTCTAACTGATGCTTGAAGGTTTCAATCAAATGAAAACTGGGGACGCAGGAGGAAGAGAAGAAATTTGTCACAATATATGTGCAGACAAATGCATAACCTACATGCACATGAACACAGTATGATATCATTCCTGTGTATTCTTAAAGTATTTTTTCTCTTTATCGCTTTCTTTTCATGTCCGCATCCATATTCATGACACGTACTATTAAATTCATAGTATTTATTGTTAACATACAAAAAATCTGATAGTGCACATATAACCATCTGGGCAAGATATATTAGCCTTCATAAAAGTCAGATCTAAAAGTATGTAGAAACAGTAAGTTTTATCTTCAATAATAATAATAGCAAAGTTTAAAACTTTGATAATTACAAAATGCACATGGGGATTTAATCTCATCCTAGTGGCAAGAGTTGATAATGAGATATTAAAAAAAGTCAGTTTCTCGTAATCCAGTTAAAATCCCTCTCCAATGAATGAATGTCTGCAAGAAGTAAAGGTTCCCAATATATATATATATATATACACCTTTTTATGGTATAGATCAATTTGGTTACACTATTAATGGGCTTCGAGGGGGAGAAAAAAAAAAAACAAATGAAAGAAAGAAAAAGAAGTGGCACCACAACTTAGACCAAAATCACTTCTTTGTTATTATTTTGTGGGTAAAAGTGCAAAAAAAAAAAAAAAAAAAAAAAAAGCCCTGATCCACTAGATGATTGCACAACACCCCCCCCCCCCCCCCCCCCCCCCCCATATAAGGAACTGCCCCCCCGAACTATGAAAAAATGCAATTAAGGACAAAACATCAAGTTGCCGTCAACGGAAAATGATATTTACATTCTTGCCCTTATTTAAATGACGTCGTTTTGTTATGTTTTAAGTTTCACATGCTGACGTGGCCTTGTAATCCCTCACAACCAATAAAAAATGGACACACAACTTTCTTAACACAAATTAGTACTGTTTACCCAATTTCATTTTTGCCAAATCACCAAACATCTCCTAATCTTCTTCTACTCGTCTCTCTCCAACCATCATCCATGGCCGCTGCCAACCCTCTATCTCCTACAAAGGTTTTCTCCCCCCAAACCACCTCCACCATTCACGGCCATCCCTTTCTCCCATCCACCTCCCACTCTCTCTTTTTCTCTCTCCCTAATCCGCCTCCAACTCCGGCAACGATAGAAATTGAAGAAGACTTTTTTCTCTTCCTGGTCAGCCTCCAACTCCGGCAACAATATAAATTGAAGAAGACGAACAGTGAAAAAGGCGTAGATGTGAAAAATCTTTTCAAAAAGAGCCCCAAATCATTCAACACAAAGTGAACAATAATGATGAAGAAGAGAACGAAGATGACGTTGACGGTTAGATCCGACCTATTTTTCTGATCTTCAACTGTGATTCGCATCTAGGTCATACCGGAAGTGAGAATTCTGCTCCTTCTGCAACCATTACTCTTCTCCATATTCAACTATTCCAATTCTAACAGTTGATTCAAGTTTTTTATTTTTTATTTTTTATTTTTTATTTTTTATTTTTTTTGGGTGCTAAATTTGATTGTATCTTTCATGGAATTGGAGTAGAGAAATTAGGTTTCTGATTTTTTTTATCTTAGACAAGGAGTAGAGATATTAGGTTTTTCATTTTTTCTATCTTAGGCAAAATTATCGGAGTTAATTCTTCATTTTTTTCTATGGAAATGAGGGTTTTATGTTTGTTTGGATGGTGGAAGAAGAATTGCAGAGAGAGGATTGTGAGGCCAGATGTACAATTAAAAATGGGTTAACCCATTAGATATGGGTATGCCCGATTGTCATAAGGGCAATATTGTCTTTTAAAAAATACTAGTCACTTACATTACCGAAAGGTCCAAAACAGTAACGGATTGGGGTATTTTGCAAAAAATAAAATAGTTTGAAGAGGTTAACTGTCAAAATAGTAGTTGGGGGGGTTTCTTGGGAGAGAGAGAATAGTTTTGGGGGGTGGGGTTTGCACTTTACCCTTATTTTGTACAAGGTGGCTGCTCTAAAACCGGATCTTAACAATAATGAGGACGCAGAGTCGAGTATCAAAATAGTCACTCTGTACAAGATATTAGATTTGGTTCCTCACCTAGGCGAACCATTCAGTAGGTAATCACTTTTGAAATATATTTAAAAAGAGAAATATAAATAAACTAATAAATCAAAATTTGGTTCTCTAATTTTATTATCACATCAAGCATCACATGGCCAAATTGAGAATGAACTGAATAAAGCTTAATAATGCTCTTTTTGGTTATTGAGAAAACAAAAGAAGGCAAATTAATCATTCAACAACAGCAATACTAATAATAATTAAGTTGACAATTATGAGGGAAAAAAAAAAAAAACGAAAACGACAGTGGGGAACTTTTACTTCCTTTCCATTTTCAAAACCCTTGACAACCAAAAATAAATAAATAATTCAACTGAATATGTTAAATAAACTAACACAGCCCATATCCTCTGTTCCATCATCGAATTTGAAATTCACTAGATTAAGATAAATAGAAAATTGCTTCCTTCACAATTCAATTTTAAAATACTTGGGTTTCCTCCGAAAATTCAACCACTTCATGGTCCTTGAGTAATTAAGAACCTTAACTTGAAACAGTAAAAAGAAATTCTCAACAATTCCAGCAAACCCATCAGTGGCCATTAAATTAGATCAGATCCACATTGCAGAAACTAAGAATATTGGGTCTGTCACTACATATATATACAATTCGATATAAAGAATTGAGGATGAAAATTGAGAAGTACCTGGACGAGATCGATGGCAAAACCAAGCAAGGAGAAGAAGCCTGACGTTGATGATGAGACCCAGACCGTCCATCTTGATTTTTGGGAGTTGGATGGTAAGTGACGGTGGCGGCTACACAAATTTGGCACTGTAATTTCCTCATTGCTTCTTCCCCTTTAAATTGAATTTGGAGATCCAAATTGAACCCACCCTTCTAAATTTCACTTTACTTTGGTGGGTACAGAATTTGGAGATCCAAAGTGAGTGAGCTATCAAGTGGGGTAAAATGGTCATGTAAAAAAAAAAAAAAAAAAAAAAAATGTTGGTAAGGGTCCCATTCCCGAAAGTAGTTTAATTTACCTCTTACTGTAAATAAATAATAGGTAAAACACAATGAACCCCTAAACTACAAGAAACCTCCAAAACTATTATTTTATTGCATTTTACCCCATCATGTCAGCTTCTGACGCTGAAAAAAGTGGAAGACCAGTTTACCTTTGTAAAGACTACGTTGTTTAAATGATGGACTTGGGCCTTACCATATTTTTTTTCCCGATGACAAAACACTAACGAGTCTTACTTACCATCTACTGCACATTCACTAAACACAACCCAAACCACAACAAGCTAGAAAGAAAGAAAAAAAAAAAAAAAAAGAAGAAGAAGAGATGAGAGAGCCAAAGAAACATCATCATAGACGAAATATCCACGTTGCCATGGTGGTTGGAGCCACCACGGCCAAGGTGACGCAATCAAGAGGAACCCAAAAATCGTCGTCAGTAGCACGGAAGTGTACAACTTTGCTAACCCAGAAGAAGATGAACTGACTGAAAAGGGCTGATTGGTACCAACAGAGTATGGATTTAGGGAGGTTCAATAGAAGATGGTGATGGTCTCTCATAGATGTCGGAGGAGTGAGTTAACAAGCAAAGATTCATCTTATTCGATCTGTTTAAATTTTCTTTGGATTTTAGTTTGTCTATGTTTCCCCAATTTGATGTGTTTTAAGGAATTATCGTGCACAATGATTTAGAAATTTTCAATTTTGTTTATATTTTATACAATTGAGTTTTATATTCTCATGTGTCCATGGAGTGAATTTTTTGGAATTTTCTCAAATTAGGGTTCTAAAAAATTAGGAATTTTTAGGTGTATACTTTGCTTATAATTTTATTCGTCTGCAAGGAATTTCCTTCAAATCAGAAGCTGCTCAGTCAATGATGCATTGACCAACCTTTTGAATTTTCTTTTCTTCTTCTTCATTTTTTTTTTTTTTTTTTTTTTTTTGAGAAATTAAAGATCAAGAAGTAGCAGCATTAGATTTATTTGGGTCATGTTTAGCTGTCATTACGATTTGGATTTGAAGATGACGATATATGTGATGGTTGGTGATGAAGGCGTGTGTGTAATATATATATATATATGTGTGTGTGTGTGTGTGTGTGTGTGTGTGTGTGTGTGTGTGTGTATGTATGTATGTATGTATGTATATACATGATGGATGTGACGGGCCAAGTTTTGTAAACCCGATACGTCAATGATGACCAAAAGATGATCCGATAACGGATCCGAATGTCATTCCTAAGGCACCAAACTAACTCCCCATGAAACCATAGAACTCAAATAAGCGAAATAATGAAGCAAGAATGTCAAACTCGATAAGAAATGAACCATGGGTAAAATGGTCATTTCAAACTGAAGTGAGTGCCACCGTGCACACCATTGAAGAAATAATAAAAATTGAATGAAGTTGGACTCAAGAATCGCCTGATTAGGAGTCCGGACGGAAAAGATATGAAAAGAACAAAGTGACATTGTCCGTTTAAGAGATACCATGGACCTATCCCACTAAAACTGAATTAACTCTCACTATAGACGGAGTTTTGATGTATGATTGGTACCGTTGGAAAGCTAACTTCAAGCTCTTGAATTTAGACTCAATAACGACCCAATTTGGATTAAAGACGAGTAAGATATGACTTTCTGAAGTTGGTGTAACAAGGTTGTCCAAGAAAATTGAGAAGAAAAGGTTTCAGGGAGGATCGGTCGACCGACGGCAAGGACCAGCCGGTCAAACCTCAACCTTCGGTCAGCCGAATCCCAATCATCAGCTGGGCGAAATGATGAATTTCCTTAGAAGGCTACTGGAATGGCTCCTCGAGCATGCGTCAGCCGGTTGATGGCTCTCTTCAGCCTATTGACGCAGCAGACAGCAGCAAAAAGCTGCTGCTGCAATGTGAGAAAAATGAACTCGATCCAACCTTGATGCTATGCATGCATTCTAATTGATCCAAAACACATTTGAAAACATTTTCTAGCCTTAATCAAGCATAAACAACATGTTAAACCAAAGGGAAACTTGAAACTTACTCCCATGCATGAATTTTACATAAAAATCCATAAATAATTCCAAAAATAGTTCAAAAGTTGGAACTTAAGAGTTTTATGAAATGTGAGCATGCCCGCAAACGTAAAATGATATTTTAGACGCACTACAATGGCCTACGGCCTCATTACAACTCATTTACAAAATTTGACCTATTAAACCTCCATTTTCACAAAATGAGCTATTAAGGCAAACTTGAGTTTTTTTAAATATACATATGAACTTGAAGTTTAATGGCCTTTGGCCTCATTTTATACATACAAAAAGAGCATTGCCAAGTGTACTTAGATACACATTACATATCAAGAAGCCATCTTAGCTTGCAAAATACCATACATCCATGGTACACAAAAATATAACATCTAAAAGTAAAGCATGCTAAACAAGTGCATGTCAATATACAAAAATGTTCCAAATTGCTCATAAGCCACTATGGATGATGAGCATCCGAGAATATAGTCTCCTTACTGATAAAATAACCCAAACGACTAGAGTGATTAATCAAGTTACTCGTAGGAAAAAGCATATGCGTATACCCTAAAGTTTCAATATTATTGCAAGATCAATATAGACGAATACAAGGGATCATTCCACTTAACGTCTATATTCAAGGTGTTCTAAGGAATCATCTTAAGCTAACTTAATTGATTCTATAACAACGCAATATCAACATTAATATACTTAACAACATCAATTCGCCAATAACACAAATTATAAGTTACAATTAAACATTGGTTGTCAACTTGGAATTTAATACAAAATCAAATAGTGAAAAACTTAGACATCAAATCTTGGATAAAACCAAGACCAAAACGGTTATTCCGGGCATTAATCCACTGTGAATAACACCCTAGTGCGTATTATCTCAAATGGGGAAAACTCGTACCTCCCGCACTAGAGCCAAACTCTAGCCATAAGAATCGAAACAATGTCCCAAGAGAATCCGCAATCAAGATTAAGTTCAAAACTTATATACCACAAGCAAGGCATTTAAACCACCTTCTATGCACAAGAAATTTGAAACCACACAAACCATGTCTTAGGGTTCCAAGTCTAAAATGGCATAATAAATGACAAGTCCTTAACATAATATAATGTGCAATACAATACCACCAACTTATCAATTTAAACCATGCCTCAACAATAAGCTTTATATACTAGATTACAACATTATAATATTAAGCTTCTAAGATAATTACAATTACCAATAGAAATCAACTAGAATGTAGAATTATCATCACCATGGTATAGTAATACAAGTCAATAAGAGTTCTATACAACATTAATAATCCTACACAAAATATATACACAACATACATGCTTAAATCAATAAACCCTAAGTCAATTATAAGGATTTCAAGTAATATACAATACTACAATTCTAAAAGTATGTACATAATATATATTAAACCCCAAATGATTATAAAACACTTAAAATATAAATATACTACCACCCCTACCTCAATAGAGAATTGAATCTCTATAATCCAAAGCAACCAAGCTCAAAATAGAAAACAAATCTAGGGTTTTTTAGAGGAGAGTGGGAGGAAACTTTGTCTTCTCAAGGCTAATGGTCTAAGGTGAGTAGAAGGAGGCCAAAATGAAGAAATAAGTTATAAACCAAGCTTTTCTCCAATGGTGGCTAGGTTAGGGTTTTGAGAACAAGTGACATGAAAAAGATGAAATGAAAAATGTTGAGTGGAGGATCTAGTATTCCTCCACTCACTAGGTGCTCTTACACCACCTCTCTCACACACACAATGCAAGAATAAAATGTGAACTTACACTTGTCACAAATCCAAGGCTCTTTCCTAGGGTTAATCCTAAACCTACACTTGTCAACCATCAAAGCCAACAAGTGCACCAATCCTAGGCTAATAAGTGGGTGAATCTCCACCCTCCATATGTTACAAGATGATGCATCCAAGTCTCTCCACCCTAATGCCAATAAGTGGCTCCATGAGAGTGTGACACTTGTCACAATTTCCAAAAATTGTAAAGTGATCATTTTCCAAAATATCTTACAAATTAAATTGCAAGATGTTCCCTAAGACAAAAAATAATTATTTTACATAATTACACTAAAATTCCAAAAATCAATAATATTACCAAGAAAGTATGCATCAATGCCCTTTACGAAAAAGTAAACAACTAAAATGTATTTTCTACAAAAGTAAAAATACAATTATCATGGAAACCAAATATCATGAATGCATGCAAAGCCAGAATCAAATCCGAGCACAAAAGGTGAGGTTATGCAAGGAAAAATGATAAACGGGAAAAAGACAAAATAGGAAAAATGATGAAAAAAGAAATCATCAAAAAAAGAAAGGAAGGAAAATGACCGGGTCATTACAATGGATATAATATAGAAAAAGAAAGAATCAGAAACTTTCCCTGGTGTTCACGTGCACCAGAGTTTCTGGATGTAGATGGTAGGCGATGGGGGTGTGTATATATATATTTATTCAAGCTGGATATAATATAGAGAGAGAATCATAAGTTTTTCCTTGTGTCCAAGGTCACCAGAGTTATTAGATATTAAAGTTTTATGCTCATGATTTGGGTCGCTGAAACTTTTGGATTTGATTTAGATGATGATGCTTTACTCGGTTTGGATTTGGTTAATTTGTAAGATGAGACTCTCTGAAATTGGGTTACAGTTCACTGGCTTGAGATTATCAGAAAGGATTTTGGGTGTAATGGTGACAAAGGGGCATTATAGTCCTTTCATGTGAACAAGGGCACTATGGTCCTTTAATTTTATAATTCCCATCACGTGATAGCATGTGCTGTTTTTACGTGTTATAATCTACCGGAGCCTTATCGGATGGGGTGATTTGCAACAAAAATACATAGTTTAGGGGGTTAGTTGAAAATTTTGTAGTTTAGGGGGGTTAGTTGTTGATTCGTCAATCATTTAGGGGTTTTTTTGCACTTTACCCTAAAAAAAAAAAAAAGGAGTTGCTCGTGAAAGTGGAGACTTCCTCATTGTGGGACCGACAAAGTCTACAA